ACTGAGGGTTGTGATCCATTGCCGGACACGAAAAAAGACAAAAAGACAAAAAAAAAAAAAAATAAGAAAATAAGAAGCAATCATAAACATAAGTACCCAGAGATGACAAAAAATGTTTTAGCATATTTCCATATGCTTTTAAAATGTGCACAGTTTTTATCCCCAAACATATCTCATTATCTTTTCATTAACTCAATAAAGAGAAAAATTTTTCATGCTTTTAGGTGTTCTTCCTGTATCCTTTTTCAAGTGGCTACATAGTTTTACATTGATTCATATGCCATTTATTTTATCAGTTACCAAATGTTGGACATTCAGGGTGTTTCCTGATTTTTGCAATTATAAATAATGCTACAATGAGTATCCATATTTGTGCATGTATAATTATTTCTTAGGATATAATATGGAATTGCTACATCAGAGGGTATACACATTTTTGTTTAAGGCTTTTTATACTTACTGCCAATTGCATTCTAGAAGGATTGCACCAATTTTTATTCCTACTATCACTGTAGGAGAATGCCAATTTAGTTTCCTTAATCCTGATCTAAAAATAAGATTCTGTCACCTGTGAATCAAACTGAATACTCCATTTGAGTTGTATCCAGGCACTGTGCAATATCCAACTTGGAAACAGGTTCTGTTCACTGAAATTGAATAGCCCTCATCTGTGTATTTTAGATAATGTTTCTGTATCCATTTAAATAGAAATAAATAGGAAAACAGTAGTGACAAAGGGCAAGGAATTAGAAGATTCTCTAGTTCCTAGGATAAGGCTATGAATGGGCAGTAGTAACAAAACAAAAGTTGAAGAGGCAGAAGACGAAGTAAAAAGACACAGAAGTAGTTTTTCTTTTGAACCACCTGTAGAGAGAGTTTGGATGGAGACTGTGCTTAACTCAGCAAGCTGTATCAAAACCAAAAATCACACTGAAAACACAAACATCTGTCAAATGTGTGTGTGAGAAAATTCTGAGTTTTTTCCCACAGTAGTAGAGGCAACATGAGTTAGAAGTCTGTCTGTCTGTCTGTCTATCTGTCTGTCTCTCTTTAATTAGCAAAAGAAGGCAACTTCCACTGGGGAGCCAAGATGTCAGACAGACAAATAAGGTTGGCTCTAGTGAGAACTGGAAATGTACTAGCAAGAAAAAGCATCCAGAGTAAGCCCCAAACTATGCAGCCTGTTTCCTTAGAGTGTGGTTTCTCTGGGCATCAAACAGTTGGCAATCACGTAGACACAAGGCTCCATTGCGGACTCCAGGAGCTTGGAAATGAATATCAAAAGTCTGTACTGCAGCAAAGGCAGGGTAGGTGAGTCACTTGCCAAATTCAGCACTCTCTGTTCTATAGATACAGTTCTCCAAAGGACAGTAAAGGTTAAACATCATTTGCTTTCTCTGTTAATTAAAAACAAGGACAGGAAAGCAGGGAGGGAGGTCACTTGTTAGAAAAGGGCTTTAAGGGGCCCTAACTAGTTAGCTCTGGTTGTGGCAGCTTCTATGACTCCCAGAACGAAAATCCCAGTTTGGCAAAGACCTCCCTCCTCCCTATTAAAAAAAAAAACACTGAAAAAGAAGCAAGAGAGTCTCTGGATCCAGGAATATCCTATTATTTGGCAGGTTTCCCTGCTGGGATTAGCCTGTTAGACAATCCCAGAATAGACCTCAGGCCAGCCACATCCTTGGCCTGGTTGCCTGAAGCTGTATTTTGGGTTTGGTTAGGTCAGTTGTACCACTCTA